TAGACTAAGCAAGAAGGCACACTTCATACCCACTAGAAGCTTTGCAACAGCAGTAGAAATAGCCCAACTTTTTTTTAAAGAAATTTTAAAACATCATGGATTACCACACTTTGTAATTTCCAATAGAGACCTTAAATTTATCAGCAAATTTTGAAAAAATCTCTTTAAAATAATAGAAACAGATCTAAAGATATCAACAGTAGCATACCCACAAACAGATGGCTAGACGGAACACACCAACCGAATTCTTGAAGAAGTTTTGCGTGTATACGTAAACTACAACAAGATAATTGGGAAAAAATATTACCTGCTGCAGAATTTTTGTATAATAATTCATTACAAGGATCTATGGGTTATACACCATTCCAACTAGATAATAGACACCACCCTAGAACACCACTAAGTTTAACGATCGAGAAAATAAAACCAACAAATGTTAAAGCAGTGCAAGAATTGCTAGAACATTGGACTGAGATGATGAACGTGACAAAAGATGCATTAATAAACGCCCAAGAGAAACAAACTGAACAAGCCAACAAGAGATGACGTTATCTAGAATTAAAAGAAGGAGACTTAGTAATGCTGAATACAGCAAATCTAACTCCACAAGAAAATAGAAAAAGGCCATCAAAGAAACTTATCTCAAAATTCATGGGGCCTTTTAAGATCATTTAAAAGATATTGACAACAGCATATCGACTAGAACTTCCCGAAACCTTACGTATTCACCCAGTCTTCCACATATCCTTACTGAAACCATATCATTCTAACGAATTCAAAAACAAAGAAATTACTGAACCAATCCAAAATATTGCAAATAAAACTCCGCAAGAATACGAAGTCGAAGCTATACTGGACAAAAGAACATACTACCGCTGTTTACAGTACTTGGTGAAATGGAAAGGGTACCCGTTGTATGATGCGACCTGGGAACCTCTAAATAAACTCGATAATTATAGAGATCTAGTAAAAGAATTCGAAAAAAATGGTGAAACTGTTTTAAATGGGGGAGAGTGTAAGGGAACGTCGCACAATGCACGTGTCGTGTAACGAACATGTCGGAG